TCAGCTTCACAGGATCTTTCTCAAATGCTTTGAAGATAAAGTTTTATAAGCCTACAAATGTATTTTAATGAGTCTTAAACTGATTATATTTCTAAAACAATTTGCCTTAAAAAGGAAAAGGATTTGAAGAGAACTGAAAGGAAGGGTCTCTGTGCTGTTAACCTCCCCTAACACTGCTGCAGTTTGCACTTTAAATACACCACAGGCACACAAATTCATTTTCCTTAAGTCTGCCTAAAGGAAGCAAAATGGCAACAAGTGGATGCAAGCTGCAGGAGCTTCCAGAGACAACACAGAGGTGTGGATTTGCAGTGGAAGCCACACTTTCCTTCTGCTGGGGAGGAACCTGCCCTGGACTCTGGCACAGACCTGCACCCCTTCAGCAACGTCTGCTCCATCACCTGCACTTCCCTCTAAAATTCCAACAAACAGCAATCCCACTTCTGACAAGAAATTTGCTATTATTTGGCCACTTTTTTTTTCTTCTTGGTCTTGGTTTCTAAAGTTCCTGAACAACAAACAAAAAGAGAACCATGGTCTAGCCCATGTAAAGACAACTGCTGATTTTTTTTTCCCTCTTCTTAAAGGGAATTTTGCCAAAAGATGGGCTGGGATCATAAACCATACCCTCTTCTTTAATTACTTAGCTTTTGCTCTTGACTTGGCAAAACATTAAGCTTTTCATTTCAGTAAATCTATAATTAACTCCAGCATGTGCTGAGTAAACATAACCTCACTTTTAATTAAATCTTAGAACAAGATGGTACAAAACTTGCTGTTTCTAAAGAGAAGTACCTCTCAAATAATGAGAAAAAAAAAATCTAATCCTTGTCAAATAAGAAACTTGAATCCAAATTTGAGTATGATCCACCCTCTTTTAAGTCATCTGCTCCCCAAACATGCATTCCAGCTATAATACCAAAATGTAAACCTGAAGAGCCACCACTACACATCAAAAGACTCCAAGGCTAAAGTCAAACCAAACCTAAATGGTAACAGCAAAACAGAGAACTTTGGCTTTGAGACTCTTCAAGAAGAATTTTTATAATGCATCTCACTGGATTTTTTTTCAAACGACACAGTAACGATTACACAAAGAGAAATATTATTTTTCAAGAATGAAAGGAGCTGAAGTACCATATGCATTATAACCATCAGAAACAAAGGGGAATCTTCTAGTTAGTAATTTGTGAGTGCAAGAATTCAGAAAATTTCCTTCTGACAGTACATGCATATAGAACTAACTCTACAATTCTAAATTAAAATGAAATATCAATTCACTGAAAAGGAGAAATCTCTGAAAAAATAAAGTTCAGCTACTGTGAAAACACAGTGTCATGTCTAAGTCAAGCTCCTACATGAACTAATGTAATAAAATAAAATAACCATCTTTCATTTGTGCTGACTTCTTCCAGTAACATCTTTGGTGTCACACGTTTCCAAATGGCCCTCAAGAATTTAGATTAAGTGCTACATTTAAATAGTAGAAAACTTGACAAAAAACTTACTTCATGTTCAAGAACTGCATTTACCAGAGCCAAATAAATGAACCAAGAAACTGTTAAAGACAGCAGCTACAAGATTTACAATTTGCAGAACAAAAAAACGTTGTGTATTTAAATGAAAACAAGTCCTCAAGAGAACTTTAGAACATTGAATCTCGTTTTACTTATCTGCAACTCTTTAATCAGCTCGTCTCTGAAAGGCAGAACCTCTCAGGGATTCTGATTACCCCAGAATGTAGATACTGAAGACTCTGCATTAGGCAGAAGCTGGTCCACTTACTAATCTTATCTAAAGTATATTCAAAATATGACATAAGAGAATTCCACAAAGCATTTTCTTCCAGCCATTTGCTATTGTATTTCAGTTTCAACACATTTATTCTGGACAAATTTTTCCCATTAATTCTCATCAAGTTCAGCTGAGTCACCTCTGAGCAGTTCTCACAGCAGCTGCAGGAGGCTGGTGGAAGCTCCCTCAGCAGTGGCAAATCAAACACGGAGCCTTGAGGCCAAAGCTCAGGATCTGACCCAAGGGTGGCAGCAATTTAGGAGTGTTTGCTGAGCACAAAGGAAGGACTGTCAGTCACACTACCACAGTGCCACTGCACAGAAGGTGCTTCCCCATCTCCAAGGGACACCATTTCCATGCTTCACCTAAATGCCCATTTTCCACTGTCAGTCCTGCATTGCCTGATTTCTTCAGGAAGCTAAAGCTGATGTCTTCACTCTGCTGCATGTATTTTCATCATTCTCCCCCATCTCCTCCCTTAAAATGATTTTTTAAAACTCACTGAACAATCATGACCATACCTGAGAAAAGCAGAGCGGGTGTCATTATTAAATTCCCCATGTTTTATTAAAACCAGCACTTAGGAGATTAAAACCTTGCTCATGCCAGTGCAGATAAACCACAGCACAGGCTCAACTTCTATCAGAGTCTGAAGAATCTCTACAATCAGACTAAAGGCTTAAATCTAAATCTTAAATGCACACCACTTCAATTAGTTTAAAATTTGATTTCTATAAGGGAAATCTTAAATACTAAAAATTAACATTAAGAGCACAATTGTGGCACAAAACCATTAAAAATGCATAATGAATCAACATATGCTATTAATTGCATTGTTTCTTCCAGCTCTTAATTACAATTAAGGAAGACACAGCAAAGAATCATTCTTAAGAATTAAAATGCAATAGAACAGTGGGATTGTTCAGACACATAATAGCAAACATTTACCATCCAACTGTTCTGCAGCTGCAAGAAAGATATTTTTTAGCAACTGATTTAGGATATTACCGAGAGTATCTTCCTAGATATCCATGGAATTTTGAAAAAACTGACAGCACTTTTAACACCAGACAAGGGGAATGGAGACCCAAGAGGAATGCCAGGGCAATGACTCTGAAGTAATTTCCATAAATGACTGTCATCTAAACCCAAAAGCTCTTTTTAAATGCAGATCTTTAAATTCTGCACAAGTAGAAGCTAAGTCATATCTTAAATGGCTCCCTATTATAAATTAAGAGCCATTTAGAGCTGTCTTTCCCTAGCAGTGCAGTATCTGCTGCACAGAAAGCAGTGAACACACAGTAAAATGATGCACTGCAGTGGAATCACATCCCATCCCAGCTCAGCTGAACTTTGCCAGCTTTCCCAACAGAATGCTAGCTGACACTATAATGAAGATTCATGCTACCAGGATAATTGAGGATGAAACAATTCATCAAAATTTATTATTTTGCTCTCCTTTTTCAATTGTTGAACACAAGTGTTATTTTGAAACTCTTAAGTTTTTTTTAATGAAGTCTTTGAAGTCTTCACAATTTTACAGAGAGTATCTAAGAAAGCATGCTTGGAAGCCCTCTTTGGGAATTCCTAAACTTCTGTTCAGGAAACAGTGCAATAGATTAACTCTCCAGTGGGCAAATTATGCAGTGTGAGTGAAAGGCTAATCCTGCTTGGGCTGGTGACATTTGTGTGACATCCAGTCCCACTGACAGGATTAGTACCAGCAGCAGCAGTGGCACAAGGGACACCACCACAAACACAAAGACCACACACTGCTGCTGTCCTCAGTGCACAAGCAGACAACACCAGCAGTATTCCTAAGCATGCAAACTTGTCCTGCACACAAAACACACATTCAGGGACAATGCTCAGGAGCAAATTTTCTACAAACTTCAGGAGAAATTTAATGCAGCAAGTCTCAGCTGATACCAGTTGCTAATCAAATGTGGTAGACTACAAATCAACTCTTCAGTAATGTAAATTATCCTTTTGAAAGTCTTTTTTGGAACCTTTTTAAGTTAATGTGTGAAGTTTTGCAGAAAATGTGTCACTTTCTCTTTGAACAAGTCTTTCTTTCATGGTACAGCACCATAAGGTAAATTATCTTTGAGGAACATAAAGCACACTCAAGTCACTCCTTTCTTTTGAATGTAGGACATCTGAAAATTGATGGAAATTTTATTGGCCCTGGGTCATAATGTTTAACAGGTTTATCTAATTTCATTCCAGAGCATTTACATAGTCATATACAATTTTTTTTCTTTCTAATCATAACCATCCTTTGACTTTTTTTAAGCAGTCTAGAAAAGTGCAAGTAAAGGACAGCGAGATTTCTGCACCCAAAACTTCAAGGAGCATTTGCAGAACATTTCTTGAGAATAAACAATGTGAACTTAAAAGACACGAAGGTCACATTGAGAAATTAGTTAAAATAGAGTCAAGAGCTAATCCTGTTAGATTAAGTTAGACCAGTTTTTTTTTTAAATCATAGCCTTAAATTTGTATGATCTCTGCAGATCAGAAAATGCAAATACAACAGAGAAAAATTAAAAACTAAAATTAAAAAAGTATTTGAAAATCACCATCTTATCTGAACAGATATAATGGTGATGGAAGAATAATAATGTTATATCTGCTTATCAAAGTATTTAGAAGACAAAAAAAAAATCATTCAAAATCTGCCTTTGGCCAACTTTTTCTGACTTTGTGTCACATTTACTTTGAGTAAGTTTTGCTTTTTTATTATTAACTAGCAAGACAAACATTTGTTATCTGCTGTCACAATGAGATAGAACTGCCATAGGCAAAGCTACTAGACATGTGTCTTTTTAGAAAAGATGAGACTGGGGCTGTTGGGCGAAAAAAAAGGAAGGAAAGACCGGAATCCTCTCTATTGTGGAAAATTGGAAGAAACATCATTTTATCATAATGACAGTTGTCATTGGCATTTTGTGTCTTCTCAAAGAACTTCAATATTTTCTTGATACGATGGCAAAGGCTGTTAAATAAATACATTTTCCCCACTTCAGCAGCATTTCTCAGGACTCTGCAAGCACACAGAGCAGCTTTTCTCTAAGTGCAGAGCACACTGGGAGCAATACAAACTGCAATCCCTGCAAGTGCAGGGTGTAGCAGGCAGAGCACCAAGAGCAGATGACTTGGCAAGTGAAGCTGCAGGGCTGTGACCCCTCAGACACTGCACTCACCTGCAGGTAAGTATTTCAGCTGGTTGTTTGCCAGGCGAAGGTGCCGCAAGGACCTCAGGCGGCCGATCTCTGGGCACACGATCTCCAGGGCATTGTCACTCAGGTCCAGAAACTGCAGCTTAACCAGGGAGCCAATGGCTTGTGAGAGAACAGATTAGAACATGAATGTGACCCAAGAGGGACTGTGAGAGGAGGACAAGCCACAGCACCCAACAGCTGTGTCTGAGCACATCTCGAGGTGTTAAAGCCAGTCTCACAGCTCAGTGACATCAATTGTGGAAATGCTGCTCTAGCTAACAAAGCTCTGCTGGCAGTGAGATGGGGAACAAACACAGTGATGCACAGAATACTCCCATCTCCAGATCCTCCTCAGACAATTCTGCTCTGAAACCACTTTCTCCATTCTTTTCCTTTGACTCTATCCAATTTATATTCAGAGAGAGCATAAATTGAACACAAATTCCTCCAGTTGGGAGCATAACTGCAATTAAGACAGAAAAGAAACTAGTACAAGTTCTTGCTCCTTTGGGTTTCAAATCTGTCATGATCTAAACCAGCAGAGTATTCAGTGTGGTAACTGCCTGAAAGCAGCAGACACTCTGGATTTTTAGTTTCTGCAGATGAGTGCTATTTAGCCTTTTCACTTTCTGCAATCAGAACTGGAGCAAACAGCATTTAGGTGCATTTGAGAATTCATTAAAAGAATTTAACATAGCATAAACAAGGACATTATCAACTAAAAGCTACACTGGTATATTTTGTATGAAAATCTTTAATGTTTTATGGGAAAATAAAGGAAAAGTAGGCCTCTTCAAAAGAAGAAAAATGAATATTTTATGATTCCTGCCACTTATCGTGAGCTGGTAGATTACTTACCTTCAGGTACAACAACTATGTTATTTGAATGGAGGTACCTGGGGGGAGGAGAAAAAGCAGAGGACACCACCTGTTACCCTCAAGGACTTCTGCTGCATAATCAGTTTGCAAAATATCCAGTTTCAGACTGAAAGAGCACCCTCAAAGCCATTCCTCCCTATGACCACAAAAGCTGTGGAAACTGTATAAACTGGCAATGGACAGGTACTTAAGTTACACTTGGATTATTAAATGATTACCATAAAAATAAAAGAAAATTACATACAATTATGTAAAACAAACCATTCACAGTTACAATAATAACAGGCTTTAATTTTGCAAGTCATATGGAGGAAAACAAAAAGGGAAAAGAATAAGCAGAGAGAATAACCAGAATAAATCATATTTGATCACCAGGTTATTTGACACTAAATGCTAGCCAAGGTAAGCAAAAAGCCCACACCCATACAAGTTATACAATTATAAACATTTTCCCCTACACAAAAACTCTCACAACTTTAAAGAATAGAAGAAATAAGCACATGATCTATTCACTGAAAGTGGGTTTTTCAAGCTTAAAGTACATTTTTCAAAAGAAAAACCCAATCTTGCACATGGTTATTTATGCAGCTACAGAGGGTGGCCAGATCTCTCACTAAGAATATTCAGCACCCTCTGATGGAGCACTTCCAGTACTTCTGGTAACATAAACACTGATCTTGGATTTTACACATTTCAGATTTCAATCATCATTGCTGCAAAAGAACAATTGTATCTTGTAGAAAATAACAGTAACAAAATTTTCCATACTGATATCCAACTGTAAAGGAATATTGAGTACTCAGTGTTCAATTGCTTAGGCACACATGGAATTATTTTCATGGCATGTTTCTTCCTACTGTATTCCAAGAGCACTTCCTAAAGTAGGAACCTCTCTTTTCAGGGAGACAGAACAAGGGAAAAGGCATAAACATTTCAACTGCATGGGGCACCTGAACCTTCTCTTTCTCTTTAAAAATTGTAGTTTGCTAAAAACTTAAACATAAGAACAGCATACATGTTTGTAGAAACATAGGACGAGAATTCTCTTACCCATTTCAGCTGCATCTCCTGAAAATATCTGTGAACTACTTCACTTAAGCTAAAAAATCCCTGTATTATGAGGAGCTACACCTCATAGCCCAGCATCAGGGGCATGATACACAAAGAAAAACACACAAGTGAAATAACTAAGGATGTAACTTTTAGGAAAATAAAAATAATTTGTCTCTCAAAACTGAAAGCTACTGTACCAAATTATTCTTGAAATAAATCCTTGTTTTGTGGTCTCTTCCCTGACAACAAAACACCTCTTATTGTCTCATCAAAAACTGACTTGTCCTATTAGAGCTACACAAACCACAGGCCCATTGCAGCTCTCTCCAGACCACCAGAACCTGTGGGATAATGGTGGGACAACTGGGCTTGCTGAACACCAAATAATTAGGCTTGACTCCTATAAATCAGTGTTTGTGAGAAATTATTTTAAGCTGTAATTTAAACAGGTTTTCCTAAAAGCAGTATCAAATAACACAGAGGTTTCCTGATGCCCTGTGGCAAATCATGATAACAAATATAAAAATATTAATTTTATTGCTCTCAAGACAGAGGCATGATCAGATAGGATTTGCTCCTGAGTGAGTCAGAGACTGCAGTGACCTACAAACCAGTTCAGTTACACTGTGGACACAGGCACCAGCAAGGTGGGGTTAAAGGGCCACATGAGGATGACAAGATCAGACAGCTGAGGGCATGGGCTCCTCAGATAAACACCTCCTGTGTGGAGCTGGCCATTAAATAAACAATCAGTGCTCCATCAGTTGCTCATCTGAAACTGAGACAAAGGGCTTAAAAGGGGAGAAGAGGATATCCCTTCAACCCCCCACTGCCAATCCTACCACAGAGGGGAATCACAACTTTATAAGAAGAAAAGAGGGAAAAAGAAAACATTGTCTCAGGGGCTTAATTAAATTAATTGTCAAAATAATCCAGTTCATGGGACATCCATTTTCTGGACAAGACTGGCTAAACTGCTCTGCCTACAGCAATCATCATTCCATAGTTACTACCCCTGCATGCTCATCCCTGCTCCTATTTGACAATCTGTGACTTGGTTCCAAAAACTGATTACTGCAATCAGCAAGAGCGAGATCATAAAACCCCTGGGAGCTGGGTGGGAATGAGCAGCTAGGGATGGGCTGGAGGCTGTAACCTGTTACTCTGGCTCTGTCACAACCCTGTGACCACGGCACTGGGAGGTTCCAGGGGTTTACCAGTGTGACAAGTCTACACAGAATTTACGGGGTAAGGTTTTTTTTCCCTTAGCAGTATAAATACTGGTGTAAAGGTTCTTCTCATACAAGAAACAAGAAAATCTTAAAAAATTAAAATTGGACTTAATACACCTCCATCAGATGAAAAGCCCAACAAGACACAAATTAAGAAAACACAACAACAAAAAAATTACCCTTTCTTGTCCTCCAAGAAAACCGTCCACACTTAAGAGATAAATTATATGCAAGTAATAGATTCTAGATTATTTTAAGATGAGACAGATAAGCATAATAAAAATATATTAGAACTCCTACACAAACTCACAATTCCACGAGGTTTGGAAGCTTCTGTGCAAGGTTTTCTGGCTGAAAGAGAGTTAGAGATTTTTTAGGTTTTGAAACAAAAACCAGACACACAAACATCGTGTACCCAAGTCATTTTAATCACCATACTACAACATGTCAGCAGGAAAAATGGCAACAAGGAATGTCTGTCTATACACTACCCTGGTTCCATACCCCAAGTATCCATCAGGGCAATCTCAGATGTCTCCCAGGGGAGCAATGCACCACTGAACAAAACTACAGCCTAGAAGTGACATTATCATGTCCTCAGCAAAATGGGAGTCAGATTTCTGAGACTGAAAAGATAGATTACCTCATCTCCTTTTGAAAATATATTCAAATAAATGAGCTAGTTGAAGGGAAGAGATTGCTAAGAAGTTGAAGCCTTTACAGACTTCAAGCAGAACAAGAACTACACAAGATGTCTAACCAGAATGTATTTTATAATGCTGCTAAACTGGGAAATGACCTACAATCTTTGTGTAGCTTGATCAATTACCACCAAGCCAGAACTGCTGAATCCATCAAACTAGATTTTCATATTTTCATATTAACATGCATATCATTTCTTAACTGCCAACTGATCCCTAGCTGTAATTCTCTTCCTTGGTGGCATTTATAACCAATTTTGTGATATGAGCACATATCACAAAATTGGCTTCACAAGCTTCAGATGTCGTGTTGGAAACTATACTCAAAATTATTCAAAGTTAAGACAGTTTTATTGCTTAAGAAACCTGCTTTAACATAGATTTGTTTTACTGAAAAAAGGGGTTACAATACCGATCCACGCAGAAATGACTGCATTTCAAAAGCAGCTTGATCACATATTCCTGTTAAAACTACAAATACGTGAATAAAGATGACGTGTGATACCTTATATAGCTATATTACCTAAAATATGTAACTTTGTGTTCGTAACTGCACGATGGAGGAACACGCTGCCCTGGAAAGGGGGCTGTTCTCAGGCAGCAAACACGCCCTGTGCCCGCGGGGAGCGCACGGCCCGGGCCGAGCAGCGCCGGGCGCGGAGCCCCGCGCCGGTGACGTCACCGCGGCAGCGCTGTGGCTGATCCGGCGCTGCCCCCTGGCGGCCGCTCCGCCACGGCGCAGTCACCGCCCGGGCCGGGCCCGACCGGGCGAACACCGCAACAACAGCGGGACAACGGGCTCGAGAACATCCCGCCTCTACTGGAAAACGGGGAAAACCGATCTCACTGCTCTCCTACAGCCTTTATAAGGATGTTAACCTGAACCACGAACCATTGTCGCTATTTCACCTGCTGCTCTGTGAGAACAGGACAGCATCACATATTCTGAAGTAGGAAATTAAGATTAATTACTCTTGATCTTGCTTCCGACAGAGCTAACAAGGCAAACACCTATTTGCTTTTAATAGATGAGGAAATTGGGTACTGGAAGGTTCATGTGATCAAAGATGAACTGAGAAGTGGTGCTGGCATACAGGTGTGCTGCATGGCTCCTTGATCCATTCATTATGTCACAGCACTCCATCACTTCCATCTTGCCAATGGAGACAAAAATGAAATTATTCTTAGCCAAGGTAAATTCTGTCAGAGTAACCATCCCAGACATTTCATAGGAGTCATCTGTCAAGGACAAGAGTCATTTGAGAAGAGTAAAGAACAAAAGCTGATTTAGTAATTTATTTTCAGAATTCTGAAGGAATGAACCAGTGGGACAAAAGTACCACCTAATTTTAGAGAAATATGGTTCAGGTTCCGTTTTGATGGTTTTCAATAATGCTCCTGCAATCTGAAGTGTTTATTGATGAGCTATTGCTCATCACCTGCCATTACAGAAGCATAAGGAACACACATCTTCCTTCAATAGTTTGTTTTCAAGTACTCTCAGCTGAGATTTCCACTCCCCCCACTGTCCCAGTGTACCTGACTTACTACAACTTTACTAAAACTGAGGGCACTGCCTGTCCTACCAGCAGTGGACATAAAAACCTCATTATGAAATTCTTCTCTGTAAAAATACCTGTGATTTCTGTTTCCCCCAGTTCCTCCTGTTTTTAGCTCTCCATCAATCTTTAACCCTTTCTCTCAGGACATGCTCTCTAAAGGTCCCTCGCTGCTGCTCTCCAGGTTCTCTCCAGTTCACCCAGGCTGCTCATGAGTGTGAAACTCTCTGCTCCAGCTTGTGCTTTAGCAGTACCAATAATTACTTCCTTCTGCTTTTAATGGAGATTGTGAAACTTTCCACGTCTCAAAAAGACATCTGCCTTTTTTTGTAACATGCTGCTGACTTGATCTATTTTGGTCCACTACAACTTCCAACATCTCTTCTGTGGAACAGATGCTCAGTGAATGACACCCAAATTTGTTTGCCTTGTTCCAACAATAGTGCTGAGCACTTGAATGAGAGCCCAACAAGGCACATTATGAGCAAGTTATCCTGATTGCTGTGAATCTAATCAAGCTCTGCTTCACGCTGTTTGAAAGCAATTTTGACTAAGTATGACCTACATTTTAACTTTTGTTTCATTTCTTTATCTAGGTCTTAACACTTATATACAAAACCCTCTTTATTGTTTCATCTTCTGAGAAGTGCAAAGTTTGTGAACCTTACTGCAAATCATCACTGAATTTCACAAAGTGTCAAGGCAGAGCTGTTTACAGCCTTTGGCTAATTTTATAGCAGTTTTGATTTGTAACCATGAATCCTATCCTCCTGTTAAATTATTACACATTATTAAATTACTGCCCAAAACCAGAGTGCTAAAATAATTCTCTACAGTACATGTCAACTTAAGTGACTCATTCAAGATGAAGAAAAAGCATAAAATCCTCAGAATCCTTTCAGCTTTTGGCCCTTAAACTGGAGTACTGGACTTGTTCTAGGAAACCCTAAAAAAATTTTGCTGAATTTAAAGTAGTCATGCCCTACAGCTCCTCTACCATTGGTACTATTTTACCTCTCATACCCTGGAAGAGCCCACCAAAAAAACCCAACCAACAAATCCAAACCAATCAAGGAACCAAAAATGAAAACTTGGAGACTCAGCCTATTGACAGTGGCAAGTTCTGACTCTGTCCTATAGAGTCTTACCAGCTCAGAACATCTCTCACAGTTATTTAACTGCCCCACACTGAATTTTGAGGTCACAACATTGACTCAGGGCAGAATTTCTCCAGTTCAGGGAAAAACAACAAAACAAGAACAAATCCCAAAAGAAAATCCCACATTAATTGTGACATTAGCTGACAGATAACTCTGTTCTCCTATTAACAGCAGCCCACAGATATAAGTTTTTACTGGCACCTTAACAGCAGGGTTGGAATTGGACCCTGGGACTGACACTGCCTTTGAAATTAGGCACACACCAGGGGAAAAGTCATTCAGCCTAATGCAGCAATGTAGAATAGACTGCACAGCATCCCCTAACAGCAGAAACTGACCACTTATGTGAGTAAAACCTATAGGTTAAAAAAACCCAACAGAACAACAAACCTGACAAGAAAAGCCCCAAAAGTCTTGAGAGCTTGAGAAGGGTAACCATAATATATCATGAACATCCATTTATTATTCTCTACATTGCCTGTGCAAGTTCAAATACTCACATCTTACAGCTGATGACATCACTCAGGGTCAGATTATCTATAATATAATCTCTTTTTTCTGTTTCAAAAATCAGAATTGCTAAACACACAGACAGTAAACATTGCAACAAAGAGACTGTCGTACCAATGTGGTCAGGGAATTTCTTTTCATGTAAAGTCTCTCCAAGTACTGCAGCCCCTCATCTTTCAGTAACTCCAGAGGGAAGTGATGGAGATTTCGGTAATTTAAGAACAAATTCTTGTGCCTTTCCAGCTTTGCCTCAGAGATTGTTTTACACAGTTCTGATGCCATGACTAAGCACCACATCTACTGCATCGCCTCTTCGGAGAGCAGACCCATTTCTAGGAGACAAAAAGAGGGAAAAGGCCCAGTATTACCAAGGTGCAGCCATGCTTCTTCTGCAGGAAGAGCTCCTGATTCCAGATTCTCTGATAATTTCTCTAAACACGTTTGTTCCAGTTAATACACAAAGCCCCCAGAACATCCACACCATGTTAGAAGCAAGTCTTTGGCTATTTTCTTAGTGCATTACAGGACCTGAAATAAAATTTTGGTTATATTTGTTTACATTTAATGCTTTTAGCTTCATATGTTTGATGGACCTTTCAGCATATTTTGTCAAAATTGCCACCACAAGAAGAAGAAGAAAAAAAAAAGCAACTTCTGTTAACCATTACAGATGTCCCACATCTATCCTGTCCCATTTGCTAAAAGAAGAACCCACAGATAATAAAAACACACAATTAATACAGGATTTTAGACTCAGATGATTAAGAAACACCATTATCTTTTAAGGCATAAGACAAAAGGCAATGAAAGTTTGAAGTGCTTTCCCATACAAAACTGGTGGAATAATTTACCAGTTGGAAGAGGCAATTGGGATGGATAGACAGCCAGTAAAGCCATTTAAAAATAACACACTGATATATGAGAAATCTGAAACTTGCAGTGAGAAAATTTATAAAGGGTTAGATAAGACAGCAGATTTTCAGCTTGCTCTACTAAAAATAAAACCAGAAAGAATAAAGTGTCAAGCTTTAACTGACATTTTCAAAACCAGAAAACAAAAGAAGGAAGACAAATTAAAAATTAACTCTTATCTGAAACCTGGCTTTATTCAACTTGTTTTTCAGATATAACCAAAATTCAAGTCATTATTATGCTGTCTAGATTTAGACAACAGCAATGCTGCATCTTTTCAACTGTCTCATAAAACACATAACAGACCCAGACTATTCATTAATTTAAAGCTACCATTTTTCTACAGACTTGTGTGTACAAATTAATTCCCATTAATGAAAGGCAAGGACTCAGAACTGCTTCCCACCAATAACATTTTCTATTTTAGTTCAATTCTTCACTGAAGGAGAGGTTTCTAATCATAACAAATATTGGAAGTGAAGGTCCTGAATAATAAATCCTATCTGTGATAGGCATGGTACACAAAACTGCAGCTGAAGAGTGATAACCCAACTGCACATGTAAATCAAACTGCTTCATTAGTTTGAGTAGTTCCCTGGATTTGCAGATAACAGCACTTAGCAGTGATCTGTGTCCTTCTGGAGCAATACACATTTGTGAGGTTTTTAAGAGGTTTTTAACCTTCATTAGCTGTTTTAGGGAACAGGGCACACACACTGGCCCGTGGCACTCCTAACATTAAAGCTCTCTTAGCCCAGAAGAGCAAGGAAATGAAGCCATTACAATTCCCAACTCTACTTCTGTGATCAGCATTAAAGTAATTCCTGGAAAAGTGTTAAAATTTGTAATGGGCATAGTCTGAGTATTTATTATTAACCTCTACAGTGTAAGACAAGGTAAAGGAAAGCTCATCTTTCTCTGATTTTTTTTTTTTAAATCAGAAGCTGAGAAACTACGAAACATACACATAAATATCCAATAGACTTCCAATTTGTCCAGAGATGGTTTTCAGGTGTCCTGCACTTGTGGCTTCTCTTCACAGAGCTGTGACTCCATAAAACAAACGCACATTTAAACATAAAACCATAAAACAGACACACAACGCCACAGATGCAAAGTCCAGTCACAATCTACTTTGGCTCTTATTTCAAAGGAACCTCCTCCACTCCCTTCCAGCACCAGCCAAACTTTTCCTCTCCCAATTATCTTTTTCCAAGGATGAGGCACAGCCTTACAGAAGAGGAACAGCCACAAGCATGCTCTTTGAGGAGAGTATAAAAGAAGGACGAGGGCTGACAGCACCCAGCGACCATGGCCCCGTGAGGGGCCGGGTCCTTCAGGGAAGGGCGAGGAGGAAGGGAAGGGGGCACGGGGGAGAGGGGGTGAATGAGGGGAAACAGAGATGGGAAAGGGGGAAAGAATGAGCAGAGAGGGGCACCGGGCAAGGGGGATACGGGGAAGAGAAAGAAAAACGGGGAGACGAGGAGGGAACGGGGCAGACAGGGGCGATGGGGCCGGGCCACAGCGCGCACCCCCTCACGGAGCGGTGCCGTGCCCGCGCGGTCCGGCGAGCCCACAGCAGGGGCAAAGCACCAGAGACAACCTCCCACCGCCAGGACCCGATCACCCTGGCCCTGTCCCCGTCCCCCCCTCGGCCCGGCCGGGTCACTGCCACTCACCGGGGCCGCCGCAGCGGGAGCGGCGCCGCCGCCGGCCCAGGGACCCGGGGGCGGGACGGGCCGGGCCGGGCCGCGCGAGACCGCGGCTCTCGCGAGACACCGCCCCGCCCCGCCGCGGGTAGCAACCAATCACAAGGCTCCGTCTCTCCCGCCTCCCTCCGCCAGCCAATGGGAGCGCGCCCCCCCTCAGAGCCGCGCCCGCCCCTCGCTGTGGGGTGAGGGGCCGCGGGCGGTCCCGGTGTGCCGGTCTCCGCCGGTGTTCGGGTGTAACCGGTGTTCCCGGTGTCCCGGTGTCCGCCGATGTTCGGGTGTAACCGGTGTTCCCGGTGTGCCGATCCCTGCCGGTGTTCAGATGTTCCCGGTGTGCCGGTCCCTCCCGGTGCGGCTCCGGGAGCGAACGTGGGGGCTCCGCTCGCCTCCCCGCGTGCTCACACAGCCCCCGGTGCTAACAAGTGATCCCTGTTTAATCGCTGATAAAGGAGAACATCATTTGCTGATAAAAGCTGTGGTCAGGGACCACCCTGGACCTTTGCTGCCGCTGCCTTTTCTTTCTGTGTTGACAGCAGAGTGGAGGCGCTCAGAGGGTCCTGCCTGTGCCCACCAGGACCATTTTTACCCATTTTTACCTATTTCCCTGAGGAAATGTTTTGATTTTATGTGTATTCACACACACTAGGATGACACATAAAGGCTTGTTTGTGTCTTGTCAGTCCTCTGCTGACAGCAAATTCCTTCATTCTCAGGATATTTAACATTACCGGTATTAAAGTTGCTTTTTGCTGAGGATCACCTCTACAGCTGGCTAAAAAAAGAATCTCAGCTGCAGAAATCCTCTTCCTAGTTTCCACAGACTAATTAACATAAACTAACAAGATTCACGCAGCAGGTCTGCAGGGTTACTAAGATGAACACCTTGCAGAAGATATTTCTCCCATATATCCACATAACTTTCACTTGAAATAAATCCACATGCAGAAAAGCTTGAGATCTTTCCCCTTGCAGACTCATTTCTCTCTTTTTTCAGTTCTAAATAAAGAATAGCAGCTCTTAATGGCTCATTTGTCATTTTCCTGCACTTGAAAGGCAATAATTGATTGTGACAACTACACTTGCTCCATCTTACTTTGCAATCACAGTCTTTTTGGAGTTGGTTTTTTTATTTTTTCCAGAAAAAAAATAGATTGGGTTTTGTTGAAATAATTTACCCTTCAGAATTCACCATCCTCCATATTTATCATATCGTTCTGTACACATGATTTCTTACTGTGGTTGATAGCACTTGTCTGGTTTTTTTTCAGCTGATGGTACAAAGTGGCCTGCTTGTAGACCACCATGGTTTTAAAAACAGCAAATACATCACACTTCTTAATGTCACTTTCATCTCACTCTATAAATATCTGAGAAATTAAAAGTTAAGCTTATTTCAGACCAAAGTAGAAGCTGAATATGAGGACTTTGAGCAACATGTTTCTCAGAGAGAATTCAAAGTGTCAAACCAAATGTACTTGTCCAGGATATTGAGTCATTGATCAGGACAGAAACTGTGTTTATGTCTTCTTCTACTGAAATAGAAAAGGAAAGATGAAGCTTTTTTCCTGGGGGAGCCAGGATACTTCATGTGTTTATTTACACATATGTTGTAATCGTTTGGGGTTCTTTGGGTGGAGATTTTTTGAGAGAGTTGCAGGTAGGAGATGACTGCACTCTGATATTGTTGAGAGCAAATTGTGTCTGTTCTTTTCTGCTGGCACCAACACAGATCACTTTTTCTCGTGTCTTTCCCCCTGAAAGGTCACTCAGGATTCTCCCTTTGTTGTTTTGTGCATCCTGAATCATCGCACTCATTCATTCTCTGTTTTTTCCCCTCAGCCAGTGCCATGGTGATCTCTGAAAAGTGCTGCTCTCAGATCTGAAAGCTGATCCCCAAAGCTCTGGTCCTGCCCAGCACAGGAGTCCAGTCTTGCTCGTGTAGTCACAAGGCTAAAAATGATGAGTGGAGCAGGAATATTGGAATCTGATCTTCTGGTGAGGAGACCATTTGCCTCACGGTTGCCAAGTCATTCTCATCTAACTTGTCAGACTACTGCAATCTCTCTGCTAAGTAAATTTTACTGTTTTTTTACCCTAATTTAATTCTTATTTTTGTGCTTCTGAGAGGACGGGGGGCTTGACTTTTCCATCGTGCTAAGAAGGATGGCTGATCTTATCTGTGCTAGTAAAGAAACAAATAAAACTTGCTTTGAAATGTCAGTTTAAAGCAGATCTATTCATGTAGTTTGCAGTTGTCAGTGGCTTGAAGATCCATCATCACTGGAACAAACCCAGTGGCTGGAGCAAACGGGCACAGCTTCTCTGGTGATCCCTTGTGTGTGCTGAAATCACATAAATCAGATGAAGACAGTGTGAATAAAAAGAGATTATGCTATACCAGATTTATTGCACAAGGCAACTAATTGAGACTGACAACTTTGGGGAGAAGCAATTGGAAATACCTTTTCATAGTAAAACTGTATGCCAACATTTTCTTTTGTTTTGCTGAGTGAAACATGAAGAAATTATTTTTATTGAGGTTTTTATGACCAGTTTCCTAGCTGTCAATGTCACAGACCTACAAGACCCAAAGTACCTCAGTGAATTTCTGAATTTGAGTCCTGAACACTGTGAGGTTCTGCCTCCTTAATAATCCTGCATGAGTCTTTTCCACCCAGTGCTGTGGATACCACTTATATTGAATCATGTGCATTAAATTAGACTTTGTAAATTTGGAATATGATAAAAATACCCACTTCGCAATTAAAGGTCAGTTTTTAGCAGCAGGAAAATTCAATGTGATTGATGCACGACAGCAAGAGAGTTTCTCCTTTAAGGTCAGGTAATTACCAAGTGTTTTTATTCTGTGCTCTGCAGTGTGTCAAGCAGCAGTACAAAATAGGCTTTCTTGGACATCACCGTGTTCTGAGAACTATGGAGAGGCAAAAATCTGTCAGCAAACACTGAGCTCACGCAGCTGTGCTTGGTGCAGAGAGGTCCTGTGGGCTGGAGGAGTTTTCTAGGCACAGATCAATCCAGTGATCAGCAGATGGAGTTTCAGCTTCCTTTAGGTTCTGGTGTGTACAAGTGTTAGCACAAGTGTGTGAAGCAGCAGTGACCCAGCTTGGTGCATCTGCCAGCTCTCACAGCCAGAGAACATCTTTCCCCTGCTCAGACTGGGGAAGAATCTGCTTAACACATGCTTGGGACATTTGGAGTGGTCTAGGAAAAATGGCAGAGCTCTCCTTTACATGGCAGGGTTCCAGCACAGGGCCTGAATGGTTTGTGCTGTCCTACTGTCTTCTGCTTACCCCTAGAAAATGAACACTGCTTGGAATTTTGAAAGCCCTTATGCAGTTGAATATGCAATTTCATTTTTGTGCTCTTACAGACACCAAGGGGTGGTTTTCTTCCTCATCTGAGGACTAATAACTTCAATTTCTTAAATTTCTCCCATTGTTTGAGCAAGAGCCGAGGGCCTCATGTCATCATCAGGTTCTGTAAAGACTTGAAGAAGCAAACAGAACATTTCCAGTTTGCATCCTTTCTTGTAGAATTTCAAATCTTCATTCTTGTTACCCTTGTTTTCACTTTACACTATCTTATTTAAGATGTTTTCAGTCAATCCAGATTTCATATACATAATGATACAAGATTCAGTTGGTATAAATGTGAAGAATTTTGGATCTATTCTTTCCACAGGAGGTTTATTTTGCATCATGCATCATTTGTTGATTTGTCTCTTGTACCAGAAATAAATAAACTCTGTAAAATGTTCAGTCTTTACTAATGGAGAAAGAATCCATTCTCCAGAAAGTCCTTGTTCTTCTTAGGAAGTCTTTTGTAACTTTCAGTTAGTAATTTTGGTTTAGGGACAAAGCTCTCTTGTTGGAGTGGAATAAAGTTACAGTGACTCATCACAGTACTGCTGACTTTGATTCCATGAATGTTTCTTCCATGAACTCTGCTTTTCTGCAGCAGTACAAAAGTGGGAAGGCAGATGGAGCTCCTGCACACCGAGTGCCAGCATGCCAGTATTCAACATTTAGACATCATCCACCTTTGGCTCAAGTCTTTTTATTTTCAGTTTATTCTTTATTGTATTTGTTAAACTCGAACTGACTCCTTTTTCAATGGCACAGTAATGCTAGTGAAAAACCTAATTTTAAAGGAATTTGCACTGCCTGGTATGCTTCAAATCAGCATTGCTCAAAATGGAAGCTTTTAAACCAGTTTATTGCTAATTTGGGCTGAACTAATTTTTGAGGGAAATTTCCTGGTAATCACATTGATTGTGTTGTGTAATAGACTCCCGAAGAAGTGATGGAAAGCACTGGTCATTTGGACAGGCTGCATTTGGAATGGAACAACCTTAATACAGAATAAGCAAGCAGTGGATTTTGTCCCTGATCATGCAGTTTCTGCTCATTCTAAATTCCCACTGATCGAATTAATCTCAATTGGAAAAAGAACAATGCCTCACTGACTGCCCCAGAAACCAAATTCCTCTGTTAATGTGTTAAGCAAATATAACAATAGGCAGAATCAACATTTCTGCCTCTGCTCCATGGGGAAATCTCAATATGGGATCACTGCAAAGGTACCAAACCAGCAGCTCTCCTTGGCTTTTCAGCTGTTAGTCCTTCAAAGACTGTGAAAGGAGCATGAGGCTGATGTGGAGGTATTTTGTGTTACCTCTTGCTGACAAGAAAATCACGGTTTTCAAATTCATTTCAATTAACCAAATACTATTTTTTCAACTTGCTGACATTGCTGTATGTCACAAATGCATTAATGAATAAAATTTTGTTTATTGTTTGGAATTCACTTTATGAAACTCTTTAAACTTTACTGATTTGGTTAAAGTCACTTAAAATATTGTCTCCAGTTTTGCTTTGTTGATACCAATAAAGAAGTAAAACTTAAATAACAAATTCAGACAGCACATGGACACTTATTATTTTCAGGCAACAAATAGCATGAAATGTTCTTTGGTCTA